TATTTCTTAGAGTCAATACAGCTTGTAGCTGTTTCTTTGTTATGTATATGCAGTATGTGTTACATATGTAATAACTGCTTGATAATTAAAAGATAACCTAAATTTATAATTAATTGTAGAGTTTAGAATTGAGATTAGTTTTGATGAACATAAATGCTATACGTTCTACAATGTGTGAATCGTAAATTAATTACAATTTAGATGAATCAATTTAACGCGTCAAAAATTGAAAGATCTTAATTTTTAAACTTAAATACTATAGCGTTTTATAATTTTTTGTGCATTTTTGGCGACTTTTGCAAAACTTATTTGGTATCAAAATTATAATATCTATACTTTATTTCTTGGTATTGCATTCATTGAACAAACATAGTTATTTAGGTATAGAAAAATATTTGGAAATCTACTGGCATTATTTTTTTAAATTACTTTATGGCTCAAAAATAAACTTTTATTCAGTACGAAATGATCAAATGCTTAAACTAATCGTAAAAATCTTGTTCAATTCGCTACAATAAATGAGAATGATAAAGTCTCGTTTGTGAATAAATTTCAAAAAATGCAACAATTACGTAATACGTGTTAATAATTCGCTCATAAAATGAATTTTCAATGCTTCTAAATAGTTTCAGTAAGGTTTGAAAACCAGTTAATTTGGTTATTTGACTTATAAAGTACTAGCAGTAAAGAATAATTTTCTGAAGTGTTTTAATATATTTTACATATTTGACTTTAACTTAGCTTTTGCTTTAAGGATTTTCTAAAATAATATTCATTCGTGATTCTCAATTGTGTTTGAAATTTATCATTTAAATTTATCTGGTGTTAGCATATTGCACATTACATTGTTTCCTACTTAGTAATGAGCTTGATTGTTTACAATTATTTAATAATTTTATCAATCAGAGAGTGTCTATGACCTCTTCATGTACTAGCAGTTTGACTGAAAAAGTAGTTTATTGAATTTGATTGAAAATCCGCCAATTTCGCGAATCATATAAAAATATTTATATTATTGTTCATTTTCTTCAATAACGAGACGCCAATAAATTATAAAATTGAGTGATTATATAACTCCAGAATGTTGCATTCTTTATAAGGAAGATATAAATTTTTCTTCAATTGTTGATCAAATATACTTTTCAATTAACGTGAATGTATAATTTTTTTCCGATGTGTAATTAGTTCATTGACACTATATAATATTTTCAAACATTTGCTTTTTCAAAAAATGCGTGGAATTAATTTGATTATTTTTATGATATGATAACGTGTTAATTTTCATCAATTCTATATATTAGTACTCGTAATTGTGATGGCCTTGAGAAATATCCACAGCATCATTCAGAATCATCACGTATATTTGTGTTTGCATTGTTATTTACGTTTGTATTAATATGATATTCTCAACAGTAAAGTTTCTTACTTCTAAATATTGCGATAGCTATAGACTTTGGTGTGTATATTTATATGGATAATGTGAAATATTTAAGCCGTTTTGTATAGGAATGACTCAAATTTGGACGAAATATCCGTAGACATCATTCGGTTTTGTTAATAAATTAATTTCATGAACAAAGGATACACATAAGTTTACCATTTTGTGGGCGACGTTTGAATTTATAGCCGTGTTTTTTGCGAACTCTTGCAATTCTTCTAAATGAATAATGTCTGCATATATAGGCTCATGGCCGGTAATCTCGGAACAAACGTCTGTAACCCGAGTTTAGTTAGAGCCCCTGCCGCCGGTCGCGCTTGTTTTTTTTTTTTTATTTTTTTTTCACTTTGAAATCGAATTTGACATATGACAGATACTTAAATTAAACATGGCGTCCATTGTAATAAATTTTTCATGGAGAGATAACCTAGACAATATAATAAATGCTTGTTAGAGTAAAAAACAAATAAGCTGTCGAAGTGCATTGTTTAACGAAGAAGAAATACCAAGAAAAATGCATGTATTATGTAGTTCCAGCGAGAAACGACGAAGTAAAAGTAAAATAAGTAATAATATTTGCCGGCTTTCAATCTAAGTGAGTACTTTTATTAATATGCATACTTCGAATTACTTTCATTTGATTGTACTATTCTGATATGATTTTTCATTACAGTTTAATAATTCAGAAATAATTGAGACATTTAACTATATCAATACTAGAAATTTTAAGGTTATAAATAGACAGAGAGAATTCCTGTCAGCTCTCTGAAAGGTATGTTATTAAATAACTAAATATAAATTAATCTTGTTCTAATAATGTAGGATCATAACTAATAATTCTACATCGATTTTTTCAGCAGTATAAAAGGAAAATACGTTCAAATGTAAAATGTTTAGACGGTTTACTAAACACATTCACAAGTGTACAAGTATTGATATGAGATGAATGAATACACAGGAAAAAACAATAAGAATGAAGTCTGAAATGTGCTGAAATCTTTGCTGATCTCCCACTAATATTGAACAGTACGACTCGTAATTATATATTAAGTCAGTTTGGAGAACATACTAAAAACACTAATGATATAATCGTAAGTGAAAGGAAATTCTCAATAAATGGTGAAATTCTAGCTAGTGCAAAGGTTAATTTAGGTTTGGCTATGTCACAGGAAAAGTTTTTAAGTATTAATAATTTCATTTTGATATTACAAGAAATATTATTATCTGTGTTGTTTAATGATGATAAAGGGAATCACATTGTATAGATTTTCAGGAACTGTCAAATGACAGGCAAAGTATAATCATGATTAATGATAAAATTCTAAAAAGCAAAGGGATAAAACACCCTTAATGTGCACTTGCTTATTGCATTTGACTATTCTGAAAGAGATGTCAATAGCTTTACTCTAAAATGTCTTATTGTAGATGCTATAAGAAAACTATTAAGTACTGTTATAATAATATCAATGATTGTTGTTTTTCTTTAAGACAATGATAATAATGACATTTTGAACAAACATTTGAATGCACATTAACAATAGCGCAGAAAAGATTCCCAAATAGAGACTGTACATCATAGATATTATGTAACTTAATGTTAATCAAAATAAATATATATGTAAATATATATATATATATATATATATATATATATATATATATATATTGGTTATATATTGATCTGAATCAATATCAATCAAAGAATTGTGGTTATATATGTATATGTATATATATAAATAATATATACATTCATGTACATTTCTATTCTTTTTGTGCTCAGCTTGAAAGGCTGATATGCTAAAATGATATTACACACACACATATATATATATATATATATGTATATATATATATATATGTATATATATATATATATATATATATATTTGTATATATATATATATACATTGTGGATAGCGTGTACATTTAAGTACATTTTTATGCTTTTCGCACATAGTTTTTACAGCTTACTACCATCTATTATAATCATATATAATGTTATATATATATATATATATATATACATTGTGGATAATGTGTATATTTATGTACATTTTTATGCTATGTGTGCTTTGTTTATAAAGAGAACTATGTAGATATAATGTAGAATGTTTTTGTGAAAAATAAATGCTTCAAAATTTTTTTTTTTTTCAATTTTTCTTTTTTTAAATTTTGAATTAAAACGGTCCATATAATTTTGGTTCATTTCTATAGTATTTTTTATACGCACCCGTTCAGGCGACTAGTGCCATCTGTAGCGCGGGGCTTCAACTAACACAGGAATGTGGCAACGAAATATGGCCCGAGAGAGCGATCTATATACTCTTCTTTTATCTATCAAATGTAAAACTTCATACTTTTTAAAATATATTTTTACGAGTATTTTTATTAAAAGATTTTCAACGCATATTTGATTCAACTTACTGTTAGTGAGATTGGTCCATCCTGCACCAATTTTTCCTGCAACCTGAACATCCTAATCGGTTTTATTTCAAATTTTCTTCATTGATACTGCTATTTCATACAGAATAACTTGGCTTCTAAAACTTCCCGTAGGGAAACTTATAGTAATCGCAAAAAAATCGAAAATATTTTTTTTATATCCTTACGTGTCAACAAAGTCTTCTAAACATTTTGGCACACCTCAAAAAAATGTGTATGTGTGAGTATGTGTACGTACATGTGTTTGTGTGCGCGGATATAATTTTTAGTCGACGATTTCGAGAACACGGATCAACATATTCGATTGATTTAAAAAACATTCGATTTCCATTGACGGGAAGACGTGCTGATTAAGTTTTTGGCAAAGACAGGCCTAACCGTTTTGAAGATATGGGGCGTAAAATGCCACAAATCTAGTCCAGACATTTAAGCTTAAATTAGGTAAGAATCTCAGAATTCGAGATACCTAGCTGTAAGTCTGTAAATATTTGTACACTGACACCTAAAAGTTGTCTCAAAATCTACTATGGTAGGGTGTACGTAAAACAAATGTAGACAACTTTTAGGTGTCAATATACAAGTATTTACAGACTTACAGCTGGGTATTTCGAATTTCGAGGTGAACTTACTATAATGACTGGACTATAATTCAGTAGTTTGAGAGAACGGAGCGTCCTATTTGAATGATTCGAAAAAACACTTCACTTGTGTTGACGAACTGAACCGGTAAAATTTTTGACGGCAAGTCTATCGGTTTCGGAAATATAATGTAAAAAGTAAAAAAAGGTCGTCAAATGGCAAAAATGATTATTAGACACACGCACATCAAAATATCAGATATTTTATAGAGATTCTAATAATAAGTACAATTTTGTTTAAATTTCTATGGGTTTCGTACCAATTTTTATAATTTTAACCGTTAAACTACGGTCTATGAAAAAATTAGAAAAATTTTCAAAATACAGAAAAAAAATTTTTTTTTTCTAAAGTTTTTAAAAAATTGTAATCATCTTCAACAATATACATTATCATCATATTTTATCATTATAATTTATATAGTTTGCTATGACAATGATAAATAAAACTCAATCAATCAATAGTGTTATTTATTTTTCCTCAGCATCCAACACGTCTCCTGAAGACGATGCAACTGGCTGCGAAGATGAGGACGAGGATGAGCTACTACCTTCAACTTCATCTTCATGTAAATCTGCACAACTAAAGCCATCACTTGATTCAGCATGCTCAAGTATCCCAGTCAGTTCCTCAAACGTTGAAATAGGATCTTCCCGTTCCCCGAAATGCTACACCAAACTCCCTGCCGACGTGCGAGTATGTCTAATCGGTGACTGTGCGTCGGACACGGCCGTCTGCGCAGCGGCTAGGGTTTTTGGATATCCGGTGGTCACGGACCCTCAATGCACAGCAGCGAAAGATGGTAATGACCCACAAAATGGCGGTTGCATTGTTTATGTCATGAGGGAGTTTGCAGGCGAAGCATACGAGGTTCTTCATAAGACTAGACACAGGTAATAGATTTTATATTACTTTTTTTTAACTTCCCGTAGGGTAAGTTTTTGTAATGGGCCGAAAATCGGAATTGAAAATTTTTACATTTCTCGACGTTTTGAAGGTTTCTGAACATTTTGGCATACCTCAGAAAAAATGGATGTGTGTGTGTGTATGTATGTATGGATACAAATTTCCAGTCACGTTTTCGGGCGCACGGATCAACCGATTTGAATGGTTCAAAAAACATTCGATTCCTATCGATAGGGAAAAGAGCTGATTGGTTTTTGGCAAAGGCAGGTCCCGCAGTTACGGAGATAAGGAGCAAAGAGTGCAGAAAATAGAAATCGAGTTTTTGAGAGAACGGAGCATCCGATTTGAATGATCTAAAAAACATTCAATTAGTAATGATTGGGAGAAGAGTTTATTAGTTTTTGGCAAAGGCAGGCCCAGCCATTTCGAAGATACGGAGCTAAATATGTAAAAAATGGCAGTTTTTGAGAGAACTAAGCGTACGATTTGAATGATTCAAAGAACTTTCTGCTTGTCTTAACAAAATAATAGATTTTGGAAAAAATATTTTGTTTCAATTTTTTTTTCTTTTTTTTTTTAATTTTTTGTATATCGAAAATTTTTCAGATTTTATTTTTAATTCTGACTATAGTTCTAATATACTTTAAACAAATAATTTCAACTTTGCAATTCAGTTTATATAATTCTTATAAATATTAGACAATGTTACAATATTTACAATAATCTATTTGAAAACATTCAGTATTCCTGGAACATTTCGTTACGGTACGGGAAGTTCCAGCAATTTGCCTTAAGGCACGATGCCACCCACCCCACTAGTTACTCTTTTATTAATAATCATCAAAACATAAATACATTCTATAAATTATTTTATATAAGTTTTTGAGTCTTCTAAATCCTGGCCAAGAAGCAGCGGAGCAACAAGTGGATTGGGATGGCTTTCTAACTTGTGATGGTGGTTAATTGATTTTGTTCTTAATAAGTCTTTAATGTATAGCACATTAAGATCATCGTGGTGCGCCTGTCATCATTCTAAGTATTTTGTATCGAGTTCTCTGTACCAATGCTGCATTTGACTTGCTAGAGCATCCCCAAAGCTCCAGTATTTTATTTTCAAGTGATAATTTTGAGTTATAACCTATCAGCCAATACAGTTCCCTCACTGTGGATTCGATAGATTTAATTTATGTTGTGATGTGATATTTCCAGGTGAGTCGTCGATCAAGATGTATTCTAAGGATTTTCACTATAACGATTGTTGGAATTGGCATGTTGTTTAAGTGAACTACAGGGCAAGTTTGTTTATTAAGTGTAAAAGTAATATGCTGTGATTTGCTTTCATTAATCCTGATGCGCCATTCATTTGTCCATTCATAAATTAAGTTAGGATGTGTTGTAACTTATTAGAAGCTATTTGTGGACATTTGTCACAAGATAATATAGAAATGTCGTCAGCAATCGTAGCAGTGTAGTAATTAGAATCGTCGGGAAATCCGAAGTATATAAATTGTACAAAATGGGCCCAGTACACTACCTTGTGGCACTTCTGAGTTAATGGTAGTATTTCGGAGTTGTGTTGATTTACTCGAGTCATAAATTTCCTATTATTTAGATATGATGTCAGAATTTGATGATAATCGGATGGAAGAAGCATTGAGATTTTTTCAATAAGGCCTTCGTGCCACACTTTGTCAAAAGGTTGTTTGACGTCTAGTAAAACAGCAGAGCAATATTGCTTCGATTCAAAAAATTTATTGATTTGATTGACAATTCTGTAGCATTGTTGGGTGATTTATATTTCTTAACTTCTGTAGGAAAATTAACATTTTCGATGCCAAAATGGATGTATTTGTGTGTGTGGATTTCCACGGTTTCAGGAGCACGGACCAACCCATGAGATTGATTTAAAAAATATTCTATTTCTATTGATGTCGAAACGTGCTGATTAGTTTTTCCAAAAAATGGCAATACTGTTTTTAAGAGAACGGAACGCTCGATTTGAATGATTCCAAAAACATTGCACATGTTGTTGAGTGAAGAACTGATTAAACTTTTGAGAAGGCAGATCCAGCGATCAATGAAAAAAATGCCATTTAGCAACTAAAATGATAATTTGACATATGCACATCAAATTATCTGATATTTTATAGAGATTTTAATAATAAGTGCTAATTTTGTTTACATTTCTATAGTTTCCATGCCAATATTATTAATATTTAGTTTGATCTAGTTTGATCAAAACTTCCAATAAAAATTATAATTTTTAAATTACAGTATCGGAATTGGAACTTAACTTTTCATATAAATATACTCAACAATTTATATAAAAACTAAATAATAAGAGTTATTTTGTTATTTTCATATTGGATTTATTTTTATATCTAATAAACTAATGTAAGTAGTAGTAAATTATAGCAAATTTTTTCTACATTGAAATATAATCAAAACAAAACTATGTGAATGCTGTTTTCGACTTTTTCCAGCACTGGTATTATGGATTTCTGACGAGAAAGTTCATTGGATATAAGCACATAATCTAATTTAAATTAAAATACGTTGATTCGATTTTCTGCAGGTATATGTCGTGCAAAAATTATTTTAATTTTAGGAATTTTTCATTTATTCAATTTACATATTTTAATTTTCGTTAGTTTTTACTAATGCCAGAGCAAAGAATTTTTTTTGTTTTAACATTTCGAAATTAGTCGGATTATGTTAAGCTCTTTGTAATTGTAATAAAAGTTTTTTTGACCACAAAATTGTACCTATTACAAAAATGTTTAAAATATATATAGGCAATACCAAATTTTTGTTACATTTTTTGATATTATACAACTACTCTGGTATAATGTGGTACCATTTACTGTATTTGTTGGTACAATTATAATAGGACATTCCTAAAGTTTGCTTTATTTAATAGGATTTTTATTGTTGAATTTTTTTATGCTTGCATCATATTGTGAATCTATAAAAGCAAATTCTTTTCAGCTAGTATGAATTTTAATTACACACGTTTCATAAAAAAAATTACAATATATATTTTGCTTCAAAGTAATTAAATTTAAAATTTAAATAATATGTCGATTTGAACAATAAAGATAAAGTAGTTGCAAAAGTTTTTGTCGCTATTTAGGTTTGTAATACTTTCGTGGCACGCGATTAATAAGTTTATTCCCAGAAAAGCCTGCTATCTTATCTTACTAGTTGTTTAACGTTTGATAAGTTATTAAAAATGGGAGTTGGCGAATGCGCGATTCTGGATATTTTGTAAAATACTCTTGTACATGACACATCGAATTTGCAATTATACAAAGTTACTTGAAAGTAAACTGATTTGTTTTACAAAAGCTGATTTGATCGAATTGATGTTTTGTTTACCGGAACGCTCTTTGGATTATTAATTAATTAAATCTTTAGATAGATTTTGTCAGTTACGTTATTTGTGGAATATCCATAATTAAAAGACGTATATATTGGTTTATTTATAATACTGCCAAATTTATTATATTATGCAGCAAATTGTATAATTATTCAGTTTTTTTTAAAGCACAGCTCTATACATTTTTTTATTCAAAAATATATTTATTTTTTTATTTCAAATAGATTGTATAATATAATTTCTAATGATTATTCTAATGACTATTCTATTATTATTAATGATTTTTTGACAGTTTTATCTTCAGATGCAAAAAATTGAACCAGTGCTTGTTTGACATCTCCATTTTTAATATTTTCTCCATTTTGTCAATTTTTTTGAAGGACAAAAATACATGATTGTATGTAATCATTTTTTCTCCGGTTGTCATCCAGTTCAGAAAGGGCTCGATTTTAGCAAAGATGTGAACATGATCAACATTTTTCTGACTTCTTCGTATGGCACAAATCTTGAATACTTTTACACCTATCCTATTTCTCAAATATTGTCAGAAATGATTTATTAATCTTAATTAAGCCTTTCTGCGATTTCGTTGTTAGGAAAGGCAATTGTTCCAAAACTCGGAACAGAAAGGTCGCCTACTTCAATTTTTTGTATCATTTTTTGCATGCCCTGAAAGCACTTACAAACACGTAAAAACATTTCAATAAATTTCTACATGCTTTCAGGGAATTTCTTATTTGTAAAAATTACTATAAAATACAGAGACGTAAATGAACTTTGTCAGTCGCCCAGGTTATTTTATCGTTTCACACTTAAGACTAATATGAATCACCTTTATTTTTCACGTCAATATGAATAATTTAAGCTGTAAAAATATAGAGTCGATCAGGCAATAAATAAACTTGCAATAAACATGGCGAATATGATGTCATATTTTTGAACAGAACTTTCCCGTAAACCTAATATTTGTGTATGTCAAGTTTAATTCCTCAATAGTCAAAATTATCTTTCAATTCATTCCCAATAATTAAATTACAATACAACAGCTACTTCGTAATTTCCAGTGCTTTGCTAGTCTGACACGTGGTATTTACCAATGATATTTTCTTTTATAACATATGATAAAAAATGTGTTATGAATTTGTTCAGTTCACAATTTGCATTCCAAAGTTATGCCGTTATTTTTTATAGATAAAGCATTATTGTTTTTTGCTGGCAATATTTGTTCAATTGTTCCAAACAGTTCTTGTCACGTTTATAAAATTCTATATGTTATTCGTCATTGGGAGCTTGTTATTGATTTAAACCGTGTAAAAATTTTAGTTCAGTTATTGACACATATAATTAAATTTAGAAAATTAAAGAAAGATGGACTAGGGCATTTTGCCTTAAGATAATTGCTGGAGCTTTTCCGTACTATAGACAAATATTAGATGCATAAAATTAATTAAACTAAAATTTGAAATCTGAAAAAACTATAACTCAATATTTTTTTGAATATTTGAATAAGTTGTTTATTAAATAACAACAAATTTAATACTTTATGAGCAGTTGAAAAAAACAAATTTCTTACGTATCGAACTTTTAATTTCATGAAAATTTGAAATA